ATGAAATGTGATTTGATCTTCACCAAAGTCACAACTATCAACAAACACAATATTTCTAAGCTGATAAAACACAAACAGTCCTGATCTTTCATGTCATTACTGAACATACCCATCAAACATACAAAGTGATTTGTGGAAAAAGTCATGGAAACAGAGTGTTTCAAGGTAGTTCTATACCACACCTTCTTTCTCATTTCATTGTTTGGACTCCAGGTTCACCAACACCTGACTCCATTTGACATTTAGTCAGACTAAGTATTGATACCCATGCTGATCTGGTTTTTTTGATAGGATCGGTATCAGCCAGAATAGAGCTGATCCAATTCCAATCCGTGTAGTCATGTTTTTGAGCAAACTCATTAGCGTTTTAGAGATGCACGTGTCACACAACTGATAAGCTGCTATATTAGTCAGTCCAGCTGTCTATACTGCCTGTGTGTGGGCTGGCATATCACTCCTGCTTTAGGCATGTAGCCATGACCAGAAGCCTATTTTTAACCAAAACAATGAAAACTCACTTGCCAAAACTGAGAAATACATCAAGCAAAAACAGTGAAACACTTGGTTCCCCCCTGAACATGATGGTTCTTTTTAAAATGTGTGTAGGTTTTATTTGCTGTCTGGATATACTGTACATATACTGTACATGCAAGTGTAGTACTAACTGTCTGTGTATTATTTGTCAGAGTTTTGGACTGTAGTTTTCCCTTTTCCAAAGTGTTTTTGTTGGCTCCTCTGTTTTTCTGTACACCAAGCTTTTTCTGTGTGCAAGTGAATAGATGAGAGTTTAAGTTCTGTACTTTTGTCCAGTGCTGCCACGGCAACCATCACCTTTTGTTAATCCAGCATTATTGTCAAACATCCATCCATCCTTTATCTATACAGTTTATCCTAGCAAAGGCTGTGGCAGGGCTGGAGCCAATCCCAGCTGACATTGGGTGAGAGGTGGGCTACACCTTGGACAGGTCACCAGTCTATCAAAGGGCTGACACTTAGAGACAGACAACCAGACACACTCCTATGGGCAATTTAGAGTAGCCAATCAACCTAAGCTGCATGACTTTGGACTGTGGGAGGAAGCTGGAGAGAACCCATGCAGGCGCAGGGAGAACATGTAAACCCTATACAGAAATGTCCTGTGCAGACCCTTGTTGCTGTGAGGTGACAGCGCTAACCACTGCTTCACCATGCTGTCCTGTTCTGCTCCCATTTATTCATATCAATAACTTAATAAATTTAATATTTTGGAACCGGGATCTGATACAGCAGGGGGGTACCCAATACGTCAATCAAAAAAGGTAGTGTTGGTAGATCATGTGCCATTCAAAAATAAGTTAGATGTATCTGGCACAAAACACTTGCGAAATGTCGACAGGCGACCCCTAACGGGAAAAGCTGAAAATGACATTTATTCATATGTAGCCAATCATCCATCCTCCCTATGGCATTTGCCACTTGATTGACATGCCAGGCAGCCAGTCTGAGATCTTGTCTTTTTTGACACACGAGTCACCACGCATGTGCAGTCAACCACACGAGATACTGCAAAACTCCAGTTAGCGAACTACCTTGTCCAATTAACTTCTACTAAAGAAAGGGTATAAATTGAGTGAAGGAACCGAATCAAGTAAGAAACCAAAAACATTCCATGCAGAATGGAAGGGGGACTTTTTTTCACAATGTTATATTCAAAGTGTGTTTGCTTGATCTGCCAATCTGCCAATCTACCATCGTTATTCTGAAGAAGGGAAATGTGGAGTGGCACTTTCGGACTGTTCATAAAACCTATGACACTCATTCATTCATACAATATTTTTAGTGTAGGTTGATCAATTTGATGTGGTCATTTGAAAAGTAGCTCGCAAGGCGAAAAAGTGTGGCCACCCCTGTGATACAATATTTGGATCAAGAAGCTCCTGCAAAACACAATGTGCCAGGTTCATTTAAATTTCAATATGTCAGATATTTAATGAACCTTTACTGTAGGTAAATGTAAGTATTGAATCAAAATGACAACCATTTTATTTGGCCAAGTATGTGATACATACAAAGATTTTATTTCTGGTACAGAGTCAAGGCAGCTATTTGCAGCACCAACTCACAATTTGGGGTTCAGTGCCTTGCCCAAGGACACTTTGACATGTGAAATGCAGGCACTGTGATTCAAACCCCTTTTTGTTACTTCTGTTGATGAAGGAACAGTTGTACTAGCTGAATGTGCATTAAGTATTACAACCCCAAATCAGAAAAAGTTGGGATGGTATGTAAAATCCACATTAAAACTGAAAATAGTGATGTGGACAAAAAATAAAATTGATGAGGTAACACATCAAATAATGTGTTGCTGTATCGTATTCAATGCAATGCAGGACACCGATGATTTACAAATAGCTTTTTTCAGTTTTAATTTTGATTTTGCATACCATCCCAACTTTTTCTGATTTGGGGTTGTATATTGAGAAAAAAATTCTCTGTTTTACTTTTTTCAGTTTCAAAGTAAGGGGATGCAAACCTTTGAACTCAACTGTAAATAGTGAAATATCAGAATGCAAGAGCCATAACTGAGAGTGTTTAAAAAAACAGTTTGAGCCTCTAATACACCGTGATCTACTGCTAGCAACTTTGCATTGTAGATAAGGTGGCACTGATTTGTACAGCGTTAGCTTCCTGGGAGTTGCAGAATATGCTGTGCACAACTCTTTATTTTCCACAATAATGTGAACACACTTTAAAGTATAAAGCCAGTCATAGTCTATATTAACACTATTTTCAACAGATCCCATACAGACACTAAAGCCAAAAATGAATTCTGTCTATTCACAGTTAATGTCTGTCAAGTGTCTCAGTCCTGGATTGGCTTATGTATTTGTTTATGCTATAGACCTCTGTTCAAAAACTATTACAACATATCATGGAAACACACTACTGCACGAGATGACATGTTTCCTCATTACAAAACACCAGACCCTGATATTTTTTTATAAATGTTGCCTGAAAGCCTCCAACTAGCCATAACCTTTTACAGCATCTGACTTAAGCAAAAGTCAGGGGCCCATGCACAAGCTATCTGGATGTTCTTAACAAATAACAGGGTCTTGGCAGCAATGTGTTTCTCTGATGTGTTTTTAATTGTTTTTGAGCAACAGTGAAGGTCTGTGGCACAGACAAATAAACGAATCTGGGACTGACAGATCAACAGACATTAACAGTGAAGGCAAATCATTGTTGTTTTGGTCTTAGTATAGGGAGTGTTGAAAATATTGTTAATATAGAAAATGACCGGCTTATCCTTGAAGTCTTGTTTCCTAACATTTACTAACTTCCAAATTTGTAATATAATTTAAAGTCAGAGGCAATAGGATTTCAGCCAGCATTGTTACAAACACTGGCACCCCACAGGCATGTGTCCTCAGTCCCATCCTCTACACCCTGTTCACCCACGAGTGTGTCGCCTCCCACAAAGACAACTTCATCCTAAAGTTTGTGGACGACACCACAGTGATAGGTCGCATCACTGGCGGGGACCGAGCAGCCTACAGGAGGGAGGTGGCCGGTCTGGTGTCATGGTGCAAGG